ATCAAGGCTGGGTAAGAATTTCTACCTTTTGACTGGGAACTGTGACATAACTCTTACTAGTATCAAAGTTATATCAGTATGTTGGAAGTATGAGCTGGAAGAAGACATCATAGGAAGAAGTTTGACAGTTTTACTGTGTTTTACTCTGTGAGGTTCTGGTGAGCTATTTGCTTCTTTGGCTAGGACTATTTTTCATTATGTTTGATTAATTTTGCAAGAGAAAAGTCGTCTGTGATTCCAAGATGGGCAGGTACCTGATATTTTTTTCAGCTTTATTTGAGTTAAGTTCAAATATTCAAATACTAAAGAAACTCTCGTTTTCCAAACCAGTTCATTGCTAAAAGTAAGAATAATTCATTTTGACATCTCCCTTAAACTTTTCTTTGAATGATCTTGGACTGATATCACAGAACATTTGAAAATCTATTCAAATATAGTTTTAGAAAAATTTTCCAAAATTATTACATGAAAATAAGATATAGGAGTTAGGAACTAATAGAACAAGTGCGAAATGTAGTTTTCCAAATCTGCTTCAAAATTCTGGGCATAAAATAAATTATTCTTCTTAAAAATTACCCCCAAGTGGTATGATTTTTCTTTCTATTGTGCAAGACTTTTTTTTTTTTTTATCCTTTGGATTGGCAGTATTGTTACAGCTAAAGTCAGATTTGAGCTGGCAAACTTTACTGGATGATGTGTAAAAGAAATGATTTCTCTGCTCTGTAATGGTCTTTAGGTGCAATTTCTCATTTACTAAAGTAAAAAACAAAACAAAACTAAACCCCCGAACCAAAAACTAATTTACACTTTGTGCATTTTAGCCACCAGAGGGAGCCAATATAAACCCAATGGTGATCTCATAACATTTTTCAGTTGACAGCAAAAGTTGTTTACACATTGGAAGGAGACTTCATAAGGTATTGTATAGTCTATATTGAATTAGACATAAATTTTAAGGGGAATAGATATGAAAGCATAGAAATTACTCCTCTAATTCAGTAACCTTCTTCTAATAGAGGCCAATACCAGATTGTTCGGATGAAGAAATGAGACTTTGGTCAGGCACGCTGAAGCTAACGTCTAAAAGCTATACGTAGAGACGCTAAGAAGAAGTAGTAAGGCTACATTCTTAATCTCCATTGAAATGTTTTTGGATGAAATGGCAATTTTTTTGCTTGGACACAATGGAAAAACGTAAATCTTTCAGTTAAAAATGAGAACTGCCCCTGTGAAACAAGGATAACTGGCATCCATGTATTGCTTCTAATTTTTCAGTTCTGTATCATTGGGAAGAAAACTGTTTCCGTAGTATAGTTTTATAGCATTTATGTCTAGAAGAGTAAAGACTCTTGTCCTAGGTAGTGTAGGTGTTTTTCTTACTCGTATAACTTTCTACTCCTTTTCTGGTCTTTTCATACTTGTGCATCTTGGCCATATTTTTTATATGTCTTTAAAAAATATATTCCTTTTTATCTGTTTTACATATATTACCTTTTATTTTACTCAGTTATTTGCCTGTTGTTATGCTTTGAGGTAAACGTGAACATCTGATTGACCTGCTGTTCCTTTTGCCCCTCTTTTGCCCCCACATGTGAAGGAATTTGAGTAAATTTGTAGTGTTCCAGGAATCAGCATGTTGTGTAGTGTGGAGGATTTACAGTCTGTGCTAGAATGCTAATATATTAAAAACATATTATCTTGTACTGTAACTGAGGGTTGTAACAGCAATGTTTAGCTGGACACCAACAAACAAGTATTTATAAAGGCTTAACTGGCTTAGGGAAGCTACTGTTCTTACCCCTCTACAACCTGTGGATAGAGAGAGGCTCCTCGAGGCGGGTGATACAAGGCACTGAAATCAGCCTGTGTAAACACCTCTTTCTTTGTATTTCTTTTGATTTGGATTGTGCTGTTCAGTGCCTCAGGCCTGGCATTAAGAGTTGCGGGAGAATGAGTCAGTGAAGGTCTAGCTGGATGAGACTGACATGGCGAGTCATGGCCTGGGGCATCAGCCCCTTTGATTGAGAGCATTTTTGTCCTATCATGTCATAACATCTGTGGGTTAGGGGGAATTTGGGACTTCCTGGCTGCTTTGAGATAATAGTAGCCAAGTGGGATATAGTCAGCTTTCTACTGTGGGTGGAAATGGTGAAACTAATTTTACTTTAGGATCGACATCTCCCAAATGTCTCCTTACAGTGGATCCATGCTTGTGCTGTTGCTTGATGAGACAACTGCATGCCAACAGTTGCTGGACCCATGCCTCACACACGTCCAGATACGACAAGTGGTGCAGGAGTGTTCAGTTCCTCATCAAGCTGGGCATCACACTGATGTCTGTTATGCCAGCTTCAGGTGCTGCTGCCTTCAGGATGGAGTTTGAGATGTTAGTTGCGAGTACAGCACTGATCTCAAACAACCTGAGAGCTGATCCTCCTCCTCATGACTTACAAGAACTGGATATCTAAACTAGATCCCCGTATTAAGAAAAAGAGTAGCACTACTTTGCTAGAATATTCTTCAAGTTCTAGCATGAGTTTATTTCTGAGGCTGAAATTGGTCTAAGTGGTCCAGATAAAAGGCATGACTGGTTCAGGTGGAACTGCCTTTCCTCATGCTGTGGGCTGCCCAACTTGTAAACTTGGGTTTGCCAAGTTCAGCGTTTTTTCCCGGTTGTGGTGTGTAAATGATGCCCTGATAAGTGGAGCTTCACTCCTCCAAGGAGCCACGTTGTACTTGCGTTTTCTGTAGTTGAAGATTTCACAGCAAAGGGGATCAGATGGTCTGTGAGATTTTCACAGTGGTCCATGGTTCAAAAAGTTTGGAAGCTACTAGTGTGACTTTTATTACAAAGCCTTTATATAAAGTAAACGTTCAACTTTGTTTTATTCTGTTTTTTGTTCAACTAAAAAAATGTAACTTTGCATCTCAGAATAAATCAGTTAAATCTGTTCAACTCAATGTTTGCATTAGGCGGAAAAAGAAAGAGCAAAATATGTCTATCAGTGTATTTAGGAAGTCTAGGGTGCTTAAAAATAAAGGAATTCCTTTTCCCACAGGAACAGAAATCTGAGACTCGTCATATGTATCTCGTTATAACAGAATCTGTGTACCAGTGTTACTTTTACTTTGCTGTCCCAAGACATCTAAATGATCTTCCCTTAAAATAAGGTGATGATTTAATTTTTGCAGAAACACTTTGTTAGGTTAGGAAAAAAAGCAAAAAACCAAAAAAGCTCAGACATCCAAAACAGAAATAACCTTTCTTTGCTGAAATGGGAGGTCTGAAAACTGAAAGATCCAGAAATTAAGATGACCACCATGCAAGTGGTCATCTTAAGTCATTTTTGCCATTTTCTCCTAAAACAAAAGCTTATTGATGCACAGTAAGGAGCGTTCTGTAAATCAGACGATGGCCTGTATATCTCTTTGGCATGTGAAACTGCCTGGATTGGGGTGCAGGTTTACAAGTTTCAGTGTGTTGAAGGCTGTTTGGGACTGGCAGTAATTTTTCCTTCTGTGAGCCATCTTCAAATAAACATCATTACTAATCCATCAGTTAAGTGTTACAGGACATTTAAAATGTTGTGGAAGTGGTTTTACTATTTGTAAGTGGATTTAGAGTGCAGCTGTTTGTTTATTTATAGGGATATCTTGTCAAGGCTTGTGTTTATTTATAGGGATATCTGTCAAGGCTCATGAGTCAAAATGTATTGGGTATGGCAATGTTGCGTATTGGCACGTGCCGATCCTCTTGTAGAGCTAGTTTTAAGTACTGGTTTGTTTTATGAAGATGAGTACGTGAGCATTATGTAGTCATTATTTTAATACTGGAGTATGCGTGACTGACAGGAATAATACACAACCGCATTGTTGAAAGACAAGTTCTTATATTCTTATATCTTTCAGATCTGAAACCTAACACAAATGTCAGCATCCTGTAAAGAGAAACTTAAACTTGATCTGAATCCTAAGTGTATGGATAATGAAGTGATGTGAGTTTAAAAAATAATAAAAAAAAAGTCATCCATCAAATGATTTTAAAGATGTTAAGATATTCGCTGAAATCACATATGTGACTTCTGCGATCCATGCCAGGCAGAGAAATATAGTGAAGTGCTTTTAAGGGAGTATTTATTTGTCTAATTAAAAATCGGTATCTTCTGGCTACTATACCAAATTTGATTTAATTCTTATTAGGAGCTGTCCTATGTGACTGGTAAATTTCATGCCAGATGGTAAGGTCACTTTGATTCCCTTCTCCTTTGTAATGTAGCATCAGTCAGATATGCTGATAAATCCTGGGAATTAATTTTTTTTGGTTTTTTTTTTTACTTCTGCATGATGAGGCAATATGCAGATCGTTCTTTATTTTATTCAAACTTTGGCTTTTCTGGCTTTAGGTGTATAGAAAGGTTATAGTGTTTCTAACTCAAGCCATCTACTTAGCACAGCTCGATCATCACCCTGACGAAACTGGTATGTCAGTTTAAAAACTGCTTCTACTGACATAGTAGTATTTGTGAATGGAAAAAAAGGGAAGAAGCAATACAACCGTAAGGCCCTTTTTTCCCTCGCTGTAACTGTGCCCACAGTTGTATTGGAGCTGAGAGAACGACCAAGAGTGCCAAAACGAGCGTTACTTTGTGCCTGACTGAAGGGTGGCTGTTTCATTGCCGTTTCCTGTCTGTCCGTAACCCCCCGAAGGCTGTGCTTTCCCAAGCCGTGTGACCTGGCGCAGATGGACGCTTGGGCCAGCAGAAGGGGCCGTGGCCCTGCCCCGTCCCGCACGCCAGCCCCTCTCTTGGTGCCGGCAGCGTGCAGAGAATTGATCCCTGAAGGGAGCATAACTGTTTTAGCTTCTCTCTCTTTCTCCCTTTCTCCTGGGTTACTTCATACCCAGCTCCGTTTCCCCGGGCGGCTCGCTGCACAGCTGCCCAAGCGCTTGGCCCAGCACCAAGGAGGAGCCGGGGCATATGGCTCCTTTGGAAGGAGAAACACGCTGGCAGATTAGAGGGCTAGTGTACGACTGCATGTATCTACTTTATGGGTTCTCTTATGTATTTTATTGCCACATCTGACATAACTTACTGAAATAGATTTTTGCTTCAGAAAGGAAGTGCAAGAGCAACATTTCAGGAATAGTACAACGGTAAAGAAAAGTGCTCTTAGGTGGTTATACAAATGCTGTATAAGGACACTGGCCAGACAATCTGCTCCTTACAGTGTTGTGAGGAACCTGTTTTAAGCTTGGGGGGAGAGGGGGAATAAAGTAGGAAAGGAAGAAAGGAGTTTTATGTCCTAAAACATTGGTAAATGGGGAAAAATACATGTTCTGATTTATAAATACAGTGTATTGTAGTCCAAGAGGGGGAAAAATCTCAGTGGGCAGGAGGGTGTTTTTGGTTTCCTGAGGGTAGTCTCTTCAGTCGATAGAAATAAAATAGGTACCTGTAGAGGGCATTTCAGAGCGGGAGCCTAGTTTAGTCACTCCAAATTGCTGTGTAAGGGAGCTTGTTTCTGCCTCCTGAGGGAGTCTAAGGAGATTAGCCTCGCTAGGCTAAAGCTGGCTTTTGTGAATGCCCCCGGCTTTCAACACCAAATGTTAGATGACTGATCTGCCCTGCTGACAGTAAATTAGTTAGTAGGGTGGGTATCATATGTCTCTCCCAAGCAGTGCAGAAGATGCCAATAAGAAGAAGGGTTTTTAATCCTTCAGGTGAGCACGTGAATAAAGAATCTGTTGTTTGAAAGTGTAATGCCTGCTTTCGTCAAGCTGCTGTCTTTTGATCAGTAACGGTGTTAGACTGATGAATAATCATTTTATTCACTATGTTTTTGCTTTTTGTTTTGTATTTTTCTGCAGTGCACTAAGGAGATTAACTTGGGGTGTGTTTTCTCAGTCTGCCAGCCAAGTCCCCTTCTGACTAGTGTCAAAGTTAGATTTTTTTTTTTTTTAATTCCCTCTATCCATTTGGCTGCTAGTTTGCCTGCTATGTAAACTCAAGCTCCTTCTACGTAGCATTGTATCTGTGAGAAACATGGTAAAACTTAGTCTAAATTAATGGTGAACAGCATTGGTAGATTCATTTGAATTTTTAAAAGCGTTTTGTGCTCTAAAGAAGTCCAAGTCCAACTGCAATTGAAACAACAAAATTCTGTGTGCCCCCAGGAATTGAGGATATGCACTGTTCATGGCATCTCTTGAATAAGAGCTAGTTCTGTTAGGAGAGTTCCTGTGAAGAAGATCTGAAAACAGTTTTTTTTCTTGTATCTGCGATTGGTTGACTGTTGAAAGGTGGAGGAGGACGAGTAGGGAAGGTCAGTAGAAGCGGTTTCACAATTAACTCCCCCTGCCCTCCAAAATTAACAGAGTTGTTTAGTATATAGTTGTAAGAATTTCCAACACATGTCCTCTTCACGCTATAAAACTGTCTCTGTCTCCCCAAGACAGAACCTGTAATGACGTAACTTAGCAGGAGTGCTTTATTTGCCTCTTTGAGAGGAATTAGAATTGCTGGTACATGTCTGCTTGGGTTTTCGTGGACAGAAATATATGTGGATGTACAGGAAATCGGACAACTTTTACTTGCTCAGACGTGATGGAGAGCAGCCTCTACACACACAGCAAGTTTATCACATCCCAAGCGCAGTGACCATGTGCTTTGTAATTAATCTGAAAACACCAGACCAAGACCCCACACTCTTAAGTTCCATGCAAGCAAAATTTCTGTATGCAGAAAGGTGATGTGTCTAAAGAAGCTCGGAAAAATGGTAGCCCTTACAGGAATAAACTGGGTTGAAGATGAATCAAATGCAGGCAGTTTAAAGTTCCATTCTATGGGACCAAGTTCTATATTAAAATTAATTTGATTGCGGATACAAAAAAACCCTCCACACAGTTTGTTAATTTTTATTTCCTTTAGGAAATACTAAATATTAAAAAATGTTGAAGCAGTGATAAATGCCATTGCATGTTATAGTTTTTAGGATATAGTTTAGATATTCTATACAGTGTACTTTGTTCTGCATGATAACTTTCAGAGTAACAGAATTTAAAAAAAAACATTTACCCCAGAGAGATTTGTTTCCTCTATAAATTAATAGTTCTCTCTAGCTAATCATTATTATTGAAGTTATGGTACAGAAATTAATCTCATTGACTGAATATTCCTGTTCTTTCAATGATTCATCTCCGTTTAGTGAACAGAATTTGTGTAAAATCCCTCTTTACGTTTGTATTTTGTGCTGCAGACTTAGCAGCTGGGAGTCCTACTTACATCAATAAAACTCCATTTGAGATCTTTGCTGTTTTCATTTTGAACCATGAATACAAAACAATGGTATTCTTGTGTTTCTGTTCTAGTTGTTCTGCAATGTAAAAGATGGTGAAGATTTCCAGTTGTTTGAGCAAGGTCACCGCACCGCGCACAAGCAAGAATCTCACACCATGGAGGCAGTGAGGCTGGTGGAGTTCAATCTGAAGCAAGTGCTCACAAAGCTCATGACTCACATCTTTGGTGATGGTAGGTTCTTGCACCTTTTTGCCTGGACTGCTGATGGGCATGTAGGAATCCAGTCTTCTGACTGCATAATAAAAACAAGAAGATTAGGAGTGATGTTGACAGCTGGTATACTGAAACAGTTTAGATTCTATTTTCTTTTTTCTTTTTTCTTTTTCTATTTTTTTTTTATGGGAATGGATAGTAATGGTAGGAGTTTTCATTTCTGTCATTGACTGTTGCATTTTTATCTCAAGTTTAGTCAAGAATTCCATTCGAGTGTCTTGTAGTGTCAGAGTAACTCGCTATTGATTGACCTTTCAGCTGTAATCTGTATTTTTATATTTTTATATTTTATGGTTTTTGTTATAGTATTATGTACACAGTTTTGCAAAATTACTGAGGAGAGCCCATCAGACAATGCACGCTCCTCTTGATTTTCCTGAATACTGGTGCATGCCACATTGTGTTGCGTCAGGTGTTTGTGAAGAGGGTTGGTGTACAGTGTGTCAGGGTAATATGGTGGGCATGCATACAGGTGAGGACCCATGCCAGACACAACTACAGGCTCACATGTGGCAGAAGAGAGGTATTACAGTAGATGTAATGTGTAATGTCAGTGTGGATCCTGCAATGAGAGGCAATTCCAACCACAACCCTAGCCTGGGTGGACCTCTCCCTTGTCCTCAGAGGGACACTGCCTGCCTAATGTAGCTGGAAGGCAGAGAGGAGCTGTGCTGTCACACATGGGACTGCATGAGAGCTGAGCGCTGCAGTGGGAGAGCAGTGGGCAATGAACAGTCTCACACTAACAGCATGGGACTTGACAGGAGAAGGTGTAGCTGCATGCATGTGCTTTGCTGCCTGTGTTCACAAAGTGCCATGAGCATTACCTTTTACGTAAATAAATTAAACCTCTTAGTTGAGGGGAGACAGTGTTTGCTAAGTTAGCACAAAGCTGAAAAATAATAGTTGTTTGGTATTTAGAGTGGAATAAGGAAGGGTAATAAATGTCTGTATATACGAATGAAATACTGTTCTCTCCTCAGAAATATCTGTTTTCTGTTTCTGTAGCTGAGTTTATAAATGGTCTGAGTTAAAATTGCTATGTTAATACTATTTACTGGCAAAGAAGCTGATCTTCTGAACTGATTCCTTTTTGTTTTCTGTTGAGGAAATGCTAGATAGTATTAGAATGCATGGGATATGCTGGCTACTTTCAAAGCTCTTTTAAGATGCCCACTGAATTTACAGCAGTAGTTCCAGGAGTGGATTGATGATAGTCTCAAGGCCTATGTATGACTGCTTGAATTTTTTTCTGAAATTCTAAAGCTGAATTTACAACAAAGAAAACGCTTACTACTTTTGTTATATCCCACCTGGAAAGAAATTGTATTAACTTCCTGACTTTAGTTCTTCTTATGATTGTATTTTACTTATCAGCAGCCTTTTGAAACCTACAAAATTAGGATCAAAGTGAGTAATAGAACGAATGATATTTTTAGATCAGTGCCTCAGATGCTCAGGGTGCTGTAAAAGAGAGCATTTTCTAGGAGTTATTAGTAATATCTGAAACGGTAGTGACATCCTTCTATAACTGTTGACAGATACTGCACTTTAAGCTTGTGTATGTTGCCTATTATTAATTCTTCTACAGTCCATACAGTGGCTAGAAGGACATTAAAAAAAAAAAAACCTTAAATGACTGTAAACCTGCAAGCTGAAGGTAGGTTCATTCCTCTTGTTGTGGGGATGTTCTATTTCTATGCCCACGCTATTCTTCTGAGACAAAGACAGGGTAGTGTTTTAAATGTGACTATATCTTTTTTTTTTTCCATTCTTGGAAATGTGAAGCTACCACGCCTTCGCTTTCTTGATCTTCTTATAAGCTATCAATAAGAACAGGGATTTAAAGCAGTACCCAAAGAAGTAAGCTTCACACTGAACAGTAGACATTCAAGATGGGTGCAGTGCAAGTGACCTGGGGCACACATAACTAAATTTGTCTCCTAACATCTTTCATCTTTTAATTTTCATTTTGCTCTCCATTTTATGGTAGGTTTTTAATTCCATATCTCAACTCCCTTAGGTTTTAACTTAAAGTTAAGAATATATTTTATTGCATTCGTTGTTCCTTAGAAAAATTGTGTAATTTTTCTTCTTGTGGATGTTCTGTTAGGCCTCACGTTCTATTAAAAGCAAAAATTTTATTCTTTCTATACTTCACTTTGGTTGTATTCTTTACAGCCCATACTGTCCGCAGAATATTGTAGTTAAGTCACACATCTGTTCTAGCTGGAAAGCATGTGTATAGCTGCAGGAAACTACTGAAATGTTGAATTGTAATAGAGTCATCTCTGTTATCTGTAGGCAGATTGTTTGGATTGTAGATTAGGCCTGCCATGAATGCACAGACATGCAAGTTAAGTTTTGCATACACTAGCTTAGGCCTGAAGTTCTGCACTTGAATAGCTATGCTTCTTCAGTGCTTTTCTGTAATTTGACCAGCTCAGGTCGATGATAGATTGAGGAACTCTGGTTTTTAACTGTCCATTTCACTGCCTTTTTTTTTTTTTTCATTACGTGCCAAATGCGTATTGCCTTAAGCTTAGTTTACACAATATTTAATGAGACACTTTTGCTTCATCTGACTTACCCTGCACTATCAGGAATGCTGGATACTTCACTGTTGACTGTACATGCCAGTAAATAATGTAACAAAAGTTACTTAAAGATCACTAGTTTATGGAAGGTCAAAGACTTCATTAAAATCTGCATCTACATTTATTCCCCAAGTTTGTCTTTTTATTTTTTCCTGGCTTTGCCAACTGCCAAAGGAATGACAGATATTACAGAGAGGGAGAGATCTGGAGCATGCAATCAGTTGTCTTAAATTACTCACAATGTGAGATAGTCCCTTTTATTGCATTTTTTAATGGTATATGTTGCCTAATTTTGCATTCTGTAAGTGATGTTCATTCCGTTTCTTTCATGAGATCTTGCTGTCAGGAAGCTATTTCAAATATTCAACCTAGAGATCACCTTTCTTAATTTTTCTCTATTACCCCCAGATGCTGTGCACACTTTTAAACTAAAATAATTAACTTATACCTCCATCTCCACATTCAGATCTGTCAATGAAGTAATTGTGTCTCATTTGAGTTGTAACCAGGCTGTACAAGGTTAACTATTTTAGTTTTCCTCCCACATCAGGTCAGTCTTCCCCACCTCCATTTTTTTTTCTAAGCCATCTGTAGTTTGCCAAAAGCTTTCTGCTCTCCAAGAGATTCGGAAGTAATCCTTTTAAGGCAAATGGAAAAGAATTACTATGTGTTGATTTTGTGATTTGTTGCTCTGCATAAACAGGTGAAAAATCACTGCTGTTCCTTCTGATTGCAGGCTTACAATTTGCAGCAAAATACCATGTTTTTCACTGTGACTTCTTTAGAATCAGGGAAAAGTCTAGGTTAGAGGGGACTTCTGGATATCATCTTGTCCTATGTTTGTTGAAATCAGGGCCTTAGATTAGGTTATCCAGGGCTCTGTCAAACCAAATCTTGGAAATTTCCGACAAGGAAGATTACAGCACTTCTCTGGGGAACGTATTCCAATAGTTAATTGCTTTCATGGTGAAGTTTTTTTTTTTTCCCCTTGCATCCAGATAGAATTTTCCCTGAAGCAACTGGTGCTCATTGCCTCTTGGTTGTGTCACCACGCATCCTTGTGGGGAGAGTATCTTCTTTTTCTCTATAACTACCTTTTAGATGTTGGAAGACTGTGATTAGTTCCCTCCCCGTGCCCTTCCCCTGCCAAGTTTTCTCTTCTCTCGGCTGAACAAAACAGTTTTTTCAACCTTTCCTCATATGTCAAGTTCTCCAATCCTCCAGTCGTCTTGGTGGCCCTCCGCTGGACTGTCTCCAGCTTTTCAAGGTAGTTTTTTGAAATTGAGGGGCCAAAACTGGGCACTTTTCTAGCTGTAGTCTAACAAGAACCAAGTAGCACTGAAAAAATCACATCCCTTGATCTGCAGCCTATATTATTGCTGATGCAGCCCAGGGCATGATTTGCCTTCATTGCTATTTCATGTTCAACTTGCTATCTCCTGGATCTCTCAGGTCCCTTTTGGCAGGGCTGCATCCTATCCAGTCAGACCCTAGCCTGTACTGCTGCTTGGGATTATTCTATCCCAGGTGAAGGACTTCATGTTTATTTTTCTTAAACCTCATGCAGTTCTTGTTGGCGTAGTCTTCTAGCCTTTTGAGGTCTCTGTGAATGGTGGTTTCCTTTTGGCATATCTTCCTCTCTTCCCAGTTTGATGTCATCTGCAAACTTGGTGAGGGTGCATTCAGCCTTATCATTCAGATCATTTATTGAGACACTGAATAGTATCAGACCCAGCACTGGCCGCTGAAGAACTCCACTTGCAACCAGCTGTCAGTTCAACTTTGAGCCAGCACCCTTGAATTCCTCAGCGCAGCCAGTTTTCTGCCAACGTAGCCAGTTTTGTGGTGCATCTGTCCAGTTCATATTTTAGCAGCTTCATATCTTACCAGGAAGGGTGTTCTGGGAGACTGTGTCAAACACATTGCTAAAATCAAGGCAAGTGACATTTACAGCATTCTCCTCATCCACTACACAAGCTGTTTCATCATAGAAGGCAATCAGGTTGGCTGAGCATGATTTACCCTTGGTCAGTCTATGTTGGTTTTCCCCAATCACCTTCTGTGCCTGGAAATAGCTTTCATGAGGACTTGTTCCATAATTTTCTCAGGGGCTGAACTCAGACAGACTGGTCGGTAGTTTCCCAGTTCTTCCCTATTTGCCTTTTTGTAGGTAGATATAGTATTTGTCCTCTTCCTCACTTGACCTGATCTCCATGATCCTCAGCAATGTCAGCTAACTCTCTCAGCAACCTCTGATGCGTCTCATCAGCTCCCATATGTCCAACTTGTATGGATGGTCCCTAACTCAACCCTCGTCTTCTATCAGTGGTTCACCATTCCTTTGTTGTTGCTACTTGAAAT